ACAAGAATGTGTTTCAGATTTTAAAAGCTAATTCTAACATGTTTTCAACCAGATCTGAACCTATTGCTCCAGACAATCAGTCCATGTTTGACCACATCCCAGACATCAGTCTGCAGCCCACAGACATCCCAGCTGATGCTTCTAGTATTGTTCCTTCCTTCAACCCATTACTGGATGACGGCCCACCCTCGGTGGCTCCCTTTTCTGTGGCACCTCCATCGGTGGCCCCACCTTCTGTTGCTCCAGGCATGGTAAGCAAACAAATTATTTTGTAGACCGTAATTTGAAATAGGTTGTTAAATTTCACCCTGTTGTTTTGGCTTACTTAATGATTAGATAAACCGTATACCCTATGTATTTGTTGTTTGTTTTTTCTGATTCTTTTTGTTACCTAATGGTTTATGTTTTAGATTGATGATAATATTATAAATATTGGCCACTTCTTTTTCTCAGACATTTGATGATCTAGAGCAAGAACAAGATGCTGAACAAATGCCAGAAAATGCTGAGCAGGAGGAAAAGAGGTGGAGCAAGCGTACGCAGCAGATGCAACAGATATTTGAGCAAGCTTTTACATTTGCAGACACACTTAGTTTCAAGGACATGGCTCGCAATCACAACAGGAAACAGGCAGCCTCCAGGTTCTACACACTTCTGGTCCTGAAGAAACACCAGGCCATCTGCACCAGACAGGATGAGCCATTTGGAGACATTCTCATCACCAAGGGACCCCACTTTGGTGTTGCTTGCTAGGTTTATATTCTCATTCTTATGACTGCTTTTGAAATGATTGTCAATGGGTGGATGGAATGCATGCATTTAAAAAATTTCATTTCATTATGTAATCATTCCTTATTAAATTATACACCAATCAAAGCAAACTTCTCTACTTAGAGTGAAGGATGGGTTTAGCAAAACATTTGAATGCTGTTGCTGTTAAGTCTTTTTATTTCCCTTCATGAGTAAAAAAAAAAAAATCTCAAGAGGATACATAATATGATGATTGAGCAAAGTAATTATCTAGGTAGCAATTTATGTGTTCATATGGTGTTTAGATGGTGGTTAAAAATATTTATTAATGGTCCCAAAACATTTGATTCACAATACTATTAAAATGTCACTAGGCTTCTACACAAGGTCATAGAAGCCTGTTATAGGTTTGCAACCCATTGGTTGAGGACCACTCCCTTGTGTTCACATTCATCCTACAGTTAACTTGTATTTATGTTTTTATTTTATTCCCTACATGTGTAAATAAAAAAGAAGATTAGCTTGAATATTATAATTATGCTTCTTCACTGTGTACAGTCTTCATTTATCACTGTTTTCATTTATTTGAGGCTGATTTTTTTGTGGATTAGGCAGCAGTCTGGTCCATAGCTTTGTATAATGGACACTGTCAAGAAATGAAAAATAAACAAAAATGTTCTATATGCCTTGATGTACTTGTTTGTCTTTTCTGTGTGTGTGCCTAGTATACATGGATTTGTTTTACTAACATTGTTACAATAAGCATTAGTCCAGCAAGACATGCCAACAATGAACTTGCATAGTGCTAATGTACCATAAACTTACTTGCGACTTTAAAAAGTCCTATTTTTTGAATCACTTATGCAAGCATTTTTTTTTCATAAAAAATACACTTTTAAAACTATTCACTAGTAATAGTAACAAGCACTGAGGCTCTTTACCATATTTGTAACATTTATGCAATTTTTTTTTACATTTGTATACTTGAGGCTTTGAATAAGAGATTGACAGTATGACCCTTTACAAAACAGATCAGTCAGATAATCATTTTATGACATCACTGATCAGTTAGGCCAGGTTCACATTTAACTTCACCTTCACCTATCCTTTTGTCTGCTGGACCGATGGGGCACCACACAAGATCGGTCAACCTTTCTCCATCATTTCATTCTGATATTCTTTCTGAAAATATTGAAACTCTGCCTTTTTACCTGCCTAGGTGGACCACTTCGGGGGCTGATTTTGAGTGTATTTCCACACAAACTGTGTTAGCAACCTTTATTTTCTTTTTCATTTTTTTACAGCACACAAATTTTCATTCATTTACTCTTGAGAGAAAATGCTAGTTCATCATATAAAAGTTAAAAGTGCACATCCATGTAGATAGAAAAAGAAAGCTAAACATTGAAGTATTAGGTCTTTATTCATATTTCATGACAAGAGACTCCAGATTTGTTTGATTAAAAAAAAAAAAAAAGAGATAGCATCTTCTGAAACTCCATGCTATGAAACCAGCTTAATAATAGCTGTGAATAAATCTCAGGTTTATATATGTCAGCTTATTTAAAGATGTTATACTTGCCACCCAAGATTTACATGTATGATTTAATACCAAAATTTATTTTTTTATTAGCTTCTGAAAATCTCTTGTGGGGAAAGCTGATCAAATATTGGCTTATTTTTTTAAAAAAACGCTTATACGTGTTATTGTATCAATTCGCTTGGATCAGTCATATAATTTAGTTTGAGATCTAGACCAAAAACAACAAATCTGAGATTAGAAATATTTTTACCAATTGTTTTGTTTAGCGCAGTTTCATGCTTTTAGCTTACTCAATACGCTATGTGACTGGACCAAATGGGAAAAGTGAGTAAAGAGGAGGTATCTGTGTGTTACCATGATTTTTTAAAAATGTATTTTTTTTTTTACATTAAATTCGAGGACTCATGCCAACACAACAGCCACTGTACCGGTGTTTCACTTTAAGAATATAGGTTGTATAGTTATCTATTGTTAGCTTCAAACTTAAAAGTGGTGATCTACAATTCAACTTATACCACTGCATCAGTCATAAAGTATTGAGAAAGCTAAAAGCATGAAATAGTGCTAAACAATTGGTGAAACTATTTCTAATTGCACAGATATGATATATTTGATATTTTGGGTTTGGTACATCGGCACAATTTAGACCATGTTGTGCCCACAAACCCTAAGGGTTACTTCCCCTTTATAGCTCAGGATCTAAATCAGCGGTTCTCAATCTTTTTTTTTTTGTTACGCAACTCCCCAATACTATTCCTATATAGGAGGCGACCCAACCGTAAATTAATTTTACTTCATATAAGGGATTTTACTAATGTTGTAACATCATAATCAAAATGTTTATATCTGATATCCATTATGTACTTTTATTGTTAGAAACTAAACATAGCTATAGCTTTGTATTGTTTTTGTAAAAAAAAGACCACTGGCTGGATGGAGGGGGGAACCTGCTGCATCTCCAATACTGTCTCCAGATTTCTAGTATACCAAACATTTAAAAATTATCCAAGGAGCCTACAGAGTTTTCCCTGTTGCCTAAGTAAGGGGTGCGAACATTTTTTTCGTTTGAGGGGGTGGCGCTACCTGTAAAACTTTGAGAAACGCTGCTTGATTGCTACATTGTTGCAATAATATTTGTAAGCACCCAAATGTTAATGCAAAGGTTGAACTTGTTTCTGTTTCACAAGAACAGGAATTCTGGGGGCCTATCTTTGCAATATTACAACGAATGTGAACTTCTGCATCAAAACTATTTCTGAATTTAGACTTCATAATTAATAAGCTGGAAAACTTTCGCAAAGACATCTGGTTGCATATGGAAGAAGAAGGTGCAACACATCTCAGACAGAATGTGATATGACTACAAACAATGATCAGAAATGTGTATAACTAACAAAATTATTTTTAGCTTCATCGCTATTAATGAATTCAATAAATTCTCTTTGTTAGATCTCTGGAACATCTTCAGCTATGTGAATGGACTACTGGCCAATGCAAATAGGAAGTTGGGTGTATTGGGACAGTACGATGAAATTTTGCCTGCATGCCTATGCTCTTTCACAGAACAAATGTCATTTTCCTTATGGAAAGCAAGTAAGGTTGGCAACATGTAAATTTGTTTTTACAAAGTTGAAGTTTCATTTGGAAGGAAATGATCTGATTAAATCTTAACCATGAAATATTATTTAATCACCCAATAAAGTTAAGCCTCACATTTGATAGTAATTTCAACTATTTGTGAGTAGAATAAATCGAAATAGGACAAGGTCTCACCTAAATGACAGGAATGACTATGTCTATTATAAGCTGACCTTTATGACCTTTTTTTTCTAGTCTTTAAAACGGAACAACAAAATAGGACATGTTCACAAAAGGTGAAAATTGCGACCAGCAAAATTAGTCCTTGTGGAGTGTCGCCAGAGAATGCCGATCATATCCTTTAAAACTGCATTCTTTATTGAGAGGCTCGAACAAGTCACTGTACCCAAAACACTCCTGTAAAAGAAAAACTATATGGAGATCTGCCTGATCTAGAAACTACTGGGCAGTTCAAGTCAGATATTGGACTAGTCATCTGATCCCTTCAACATAAGAAAAAAGAATGCAGAATATGAATAACTAGAAAACTATTGTGAATATTTCTGCTGCAACAATTAACATGTCATCTGTAACATCTAGTTGAACAAGTATACGCATGAAGAAGTAACAACCAATGAAGAACTATGTCTACCTTTAAACAATGATGATACACACCCTCTTTATTCTCAGGCTAATTGTTTGTGTTTGTAATACTTTTACCCCTCCCCCTTTTTAATTTATTGAATTGAACAATCGTTTCATAATTAGTTTGATAATTGTTAAACCAGAATAATGTCCCTTTGCTGTCTATGCGCAAATGTAAATGTTTATCAACTATGTATAAATATGCTTTTTACAACAAATTAGAAATGACCAAAAAAAAACAAAAACTTTCAATAATAAAAAGACCATACCCCAAATTTCTATAGGTCTTAGGCGACCCTGGCGAATGGTCGATCGACCCTCAAAGGGTCATGACCCACAGGTTGAGAACCCCTGCTCTAAACTATGCCAATAACTGTCAGGCAGATGCAAGCAACTTCTAGGCATCCTTCAGCAAATGTGATTACCACTTTCCCAACTTTTAATTAGGGTATTTGTAAGGAAATCACCAACACAAAGGCAGAACTTGTGCATGTTCAAAAACATTTTCTATTATATGTAGACAGGTTTGTCATGGTTAGTAACATGAATAATATATAACGGTTATCTAATATGACCAAAAACATCTTTAAAAATAATTGAGTTTGATGACTATGTTTTTGTCCATTGTCAAAATAAGTAAGTCTATAAAATTGTATTTGAAAAACAAACTAATTAAATTAAATGTGTTAAGTTTCCCTTATTATGATGTAACTTAAATAGGCTTCAAAAAGTTTTCATTTTGAATAACTAACTCAATAGGCTTCAAAAAGTTTTCATTTTGAATAAGTAACTCAATAGGCTTCAAAGAATTTTCATTTTGAATAAGTAACTCAATAGCCTTAGCAGATAAACATTGGAAAAAGTAATTTAAAATGAACACAAGCTTTTAATATAACCTGCCCTTGAATTTGCAGAGAGGAAGTGCAAAGAAATCTAAACGCATGACTCCATAAATACTGGCAGTTAATAAAAAAAACAAAAAAAAACTTTACTCCATATCAACATATAATTAATTATTATTATAATTTTTATCATAATTATTTTTGCATCAGTCACATGTAATCAAGTACATAAACTTTCTTGAAAACATTAGCCTTTTATAACACAAACATATGAATGAAAAACTAACATTGAGATAAAAAAATAAACAAATCTTAAAACTGAAGACATTTCAAAACAAAAAGTAGGAATGTGAGGGGAACAAATAATAAGTGTACATTCTGCATACAAAATGTTTTTGTCATATTGACAACTGATTATAAAGATACCAACAAAAAAGGAGCAATTCATCACTAACTGCACTGGCCAAAAATAAAGCCAGAGTTATAGTTGAAGTGCCATAATACTGTTCAATTTTTCAGCATCATTTGTGGGTAAACTAAAACTAATGCTGAACATATGTCACAGTGATCTTTATTAATGGCTGCAAGTTAAGGAATAGTCTTAATTCCTGAGCACCTTATGGTATAAGGCCACATCTCACAACTGTTCCAGAAATTTCTATCATTTTTTATCTCACTGGTTGATGGAACCAAGCTCTTTGGCTCTCAAGGTGGCAGCCTCTACTGCATCCATCCAGAGCCCTCTGAAGCCATTCTGTTCAAGAACATGCATGGCAGAAATGGTGGTGCCAGCCGGAGAGCATACTTCATCTTTTAGCTGACCTGGATGTTTACCTGTCTCCAGCACCATCTTGGCTGCACCCTAAAAATAAGTGATGAAGGATTATTACAAGACATTAAATAGCCAATTATACAACACTGCAATTTTTAGTATAACAGAACTCAGCAAGCATTTTATAATGCAGGAATTATATTATGATATGCTGGACATCGAAAGGTTTTAGACTCTTGAAGAATAGAATATTTGATGTCTTTAAAATTAAAAAAAAAAGAAAATTGGAGACATTGCATCAAAACTATTTCCTAATGAATACTGAATTCTATATAAAAAAAAAGATATTTGTTACTGAGATAAAGCAATTTAACAATGCAATGAAGTAGAGCTTTTTGAAAAATGTAGTTTAATAAAAATAAAAACATAGTATTGTCTTTTAAATATCAACATTTAACACCTCAGCTATTTTAAAGTGAGTGCATTGAAATGTGGGGAAAAATAAATTTTTATTGTACAAAAAGGTTATTGCTTACTTAAAATTAAGCTTGAAAAAAGTGCATGCTTACATAAAATATAAAAACAGTGTGATTAATTATATCCCATACTTGCTACTTACTAACAATGTTTGAGCAGCCAGTTTTGTGGATAGTTCTCTTGGAAGTCCCATTTTAACTCCTCCATCTGACAAGGCCTCTATTGCTGCAAATGCCTTTAAAAAAAAAATCAATAAAAAACTTACAAATAATCAAAATTTTCAATCACAAACTTTTTTCTTCTTTGAATAAAAATAAATAAATCACGTTCACAGAATTAAAGTGCAGATGGGTAAAGATATTCCCAAATTTGAGTCCTAGCTAGTGGAGATCAAGGTGTACCCTTATTTAACAAAGTTTTCAATATAAGACAATATTAAGAAATTGTGTTAGCCCTGTAAACCTAAGTTAAACTCACATCCTCAGAGATGGGTTGGTTAATACTTAATAAAAAGTGAATATATTGTAGGCCAATGGATGCTAAGCTGTATGCCATTACCTTCTGGCTCATTAGTCAATCCTTTTGTTAAATACTTAAATACTTTGCTTAAAGGCTGTTTGGAGAATATTGGAAAGAAAAACTGAATCTTAAAATATGCCCAAAACAAATTCAACTATGATATCAATGTCATACATAGGCAGGACCACTTCCGCTGACTCCAGTTACTGCATCCAATAGGTACTCAGGACATTCATCACAGATACCGACTGTTCTTAACATGGCCTGGACCACGACAAGATCTTCTGGAACAGCATTACTTCCAGAGGCAACTACAGAGGCACCTGCTTGCACCAAGGCAGGGGTGTTGGGCATAACCCTGACCACATGTGTGCCTGGTGGCAAGTTCTGTTGTTATAGAGAGATATAATATAATCAATATAGGAATTTTTATAGAGATATAATATAATCTATATAGAGTTGCTATAGAGATATAATATAATCAATATAGAGTCCTAATATCTACCTTTTGAAATAAATTTGTAAAAAATAGTATAATAAAAATAAAGACTAGCTTATACTACATCAATTGAAGGGTTCTGTATTTAAAACTTAGTAATAGCACACACAGCTGCTTAAAATCTCACAAATGATGCACATTTTCTTACACAATTTCTTATTACGTTATAACATGATTTCTTTTTTTTTTTTATACAGATATACAACATGGTAAGTCTCTGTTGATAAAATTATAAATTGTCAATATAGTTGTTTATCCTATCAAAAAGCAGCAATTACATATTATATGAGTATATATTCATGTAGTATTTATATAGACAAACAGAAAATACACATACACCAAGATAATTTCTATCAAATAAACTATGAAAAGCAATAAATCTAATAAATTCTTGAGGTTAGTACTATGACCTTTCCCCCTTTCATATCAGTTATTTGTTATCTTAAGTTAAGTGGGCATCTTTCAATTTTGAGTGTGAACTATCAGTGATGAGATGATGTACCCAAAATTCAAATGTCTGTTTATAACAACTTTCTATTATTTCACAGACCAGTGTTTCAGTCCAGGATTCTGGAATGTTGATTAAGTCTTAAACATATTCATTTATTATTGTTATAGTAATGATTAATATTAATTTTCAAAAATTAATCAACAATTAATTCAGAGTAAAAATGGAAATATTAAAAGTTTGAGAAGGAAAATATTCAAAGCTAGTACTAAAATGGCTTAGACTACAAATTTGTGTTTAAACAAAAATGAAAAAAAGTCAAAAGGGATTTTCAAAAGCACTTCACATTTAGAAACTTAAAGAAGTAGAAAGGTCAACAGGCAACCCAAAAAAGACTCTACCAAAGCCAGTGTTTGAACAATACTAACATCATTTTCATACAGATTTTTTTAGTATTAGAGTCAGAGACCTGAACAAATTATACAAATCCCCACCCCTTCAAAAATCACTCCAACAACAAGTTCACTATCAGATTGTCTATAAAAAAATTATGTATATTGTCGATATATGTGCTCTCACAATAAAGATAAAAAAATATTATGTTTGGTTCAAGGTAAATTCATGCACTAACATACAAGTATATAAAATGTGTATTTTTTAAACAAGTAATTCTGCAATTAACTGAATAAACTAAAAAAAAAAAAACAATCAAAATATATAAAAAATACTTTAAAGAATTTCTACCAGACAGAATGAGTTGATTTGAGCTTTGTGATAATTAAGAAATGGAAGATCATAATTACCAGTTCAATAGATCTGATTGTGATTCCTGCAGCTATAGACACAAACAAGTGCTTCTCAGTGATAACAACTGGAGCAACTTCCTTCAATACACAACTCACAATGTTCGGTTTGACTGCAATCATTATTAGGTCACTTTTCTCCACCACTGATTTGTTATCTTTAGTAGTATTTACTCCAATGCCCTTAGATTAAACAAGAAATATTTATAAATCACCAAAAAGAGATTTCATGCTTGTAATGATGGTGTTATATACAGACTTGTAAATAGTTAATAGATAGACTAGGGCCAAGCTGTAGGGTCTAAAGAAAGATGCAATTGTCAAGTGTGTAGCAATAGTTAAGTGTGTGACTGTTTTCTCAAGTTTTTTTCTTACAATGATTTAAAATGTTTCTTTTAATAGCAGTTCCATTTTTTAAAATGTTAAGTCCATTTTCAAATGAACGACAAGAAATCTAAGTATCCAGAGTACAGAATAAGTCAAGGATTTTTTAAATACATCTAATAACATTGTCTGCACTTTTTAGCACTGCAGAATCAAATGAATTAACTCTTCTGTTTGAAACACAAAGTAATTTTATTAATTTTTTACTCGACATCTGTGATCTTTCAATATTGTGTCCTGAACATTTATTATGTATAGATATTTATTTCAAACTCATTCTAAATCCTTATCTTGTCTTTTTCTTATGTTTTCCTTTAGGTTCCATTAATGCTTAAAGAATGTTAACTGGATATCAAAAATTAAATTGTAAACATTAAGCAAATAACTGAACAACAATTATCAAAATCCCCCAATATTTTGGCATTTAAAAAACTTGTAGCTCTCTCAAATGTCTTATAAATCAATTGAAGCATTCAAAGTTTTTCAGACAGATAGTGATGCTAATGATCTGCTTTGTTTTTAGTCAATACTTATTAAACCCCCCCGCCCCCACACACACATTTTTATTCAACTGAGCCTTGATATTTGAAGGTTAATTAATATATATATATTGAAAACTGTCCTGAAATTGATAATGAGAAGCAGATCACTATATTTAGTAAACAAAATTTAAAAAAATAATTATTTAGTAATTTAAACAATTATTACCTCTAGTACTTCCAACATCTGTTCACTACTATCACTCACATATATATTCTTTGCCTGGACCAAACCTTAAAACAAAAGAGATAATCATAAAAGACTTAATAGAATATATATATATATAATATATATATTAGTATTCTTGTTGTTTATGTTTCTTGTTTTTATTATTTTATTTGGCAAATCTTCACTTTTCAGCCATATCAGTACACTTTAGTCTACTTCAGTCATTGTTTACCCATCTCCCTATTAAAATTTATAATATTTACAATTTAGGCCAACACTTAGAGATGTGTAGATAAAGTTAAACCAGCATATTGGGTCATTTAAACTCATATATAGCATTTTAAACCACACAATTTAAATCTCAA